CTGAAAAATGTTGGATTGTAAACCTGGATTATTGAACATTTAACGAGAGGCAGGGCGGAAATACGTCATCAATCAGACAACGTTTTGAACAAAACAACTTTACTCATCATTAGCTGCAAAATATTTATCTTGCATAACTAAAAATATATATACATATATTTTTAAATATTTTTATTTCATTATTATTTAATTTTTTATGTCTTTTTCAAGGTAATGGGGTGAGTGGTGGGGCGGCGCCCTAGCACCCTCTATTGACCAGCCGCCACTGACCATCAGCCTAACAATCGATTGTTAGTGCCCTGGTGGCCGCTTGTTATTCACAGGGGGCTGAGTGATACTAGTAATAACAGCATTGTAAGAGGGGGACAGTTGGACACGGAGGCTCCGCCCCTTTTTAATGATGGCTTCCTTCACTCCTCTCTCAAACCAAGTAATTCAAATGTAAAACTGAAACAAATGAACAAAAAAAAAAGCTTAAATTAACTATAAAACGTGGCAGAAATGGGTTCATTCAAAATATGTTTTCCTCATAATCTCAAAACAACAAAAATGAGAACATCTTTAGAGTTCAGCACGAGACACAGATTTGTTTGAACGTGTTGCACCTAATACAACACGTTGTCCCTTCTCGTCACATTACCTCCAGTCTGAGCTCATCTGGACGTCAGAGAGACGAGCCGGACTCTCACGTGTTGATTACATAAACACCCAACAAGCAGCGGCCGCTTGCTTCTTCATCCCCGGTGATTGAAGATAAATTGGGTTTCCGATTAGACCGGGAAGAGGAGCGCTCCTCCAGCTGTGGAAATAAGGGATTAAAAGAGTGTCTTACACAACCGCCTTGAACTTATCCAGCCGGCCTGCTTGGAAAATCCAAAACCAATGGTTGTGTTGGAGCGTGCCGGACACCTGTCATTCCATTTAGCACCTCTCAGGTGTGACTGCTGTCGGTACACGGCGTCCTGCAAACAGGCCCATGGTAATCAGTGGAAACAGCACGTTGACCATAAAACCCAGTTCGCTGTGGTCTCCTGCAGGAGACGGCACCGTCAGGAGAAGAAACTGTCACCGTGGATTAAAGCAACTTTTCAATAAAGTCCCACCACACGTCACCGAGTCTAAAGAAAGAGTTTTGTGCGCTGAAAGCCTCGGCGGTGCAGATATTAGCATCCCTGGCGTGTGAATGTCACATCAAATCATTTAAAGTGTGAAAAATTCATTTGGATTTAAATTAAAAGAGACAGAAGCACCAAAGGGAGGTGGTCCCAAACGCTTCAAAACCTCAAGAAGCCTCCGAATGTTTCCTGTTTTTGTCCAGTTTTTAATTTAAAATGTGCATTTTTTCTGTTTTTGTCATCCTTTTGTGACGATTTTAAGAGAAGACAGGCTTTATAAATATAAATGAACCTCGGAGCTGTGAAAGACTTAAAGCAGCTACAATACACGGGTTTATTTAAAATTTATGTGTGAGTTAATATGTATAGCATGGAAGGAGTTGCTTGGAATGAGAAATTCAAAATTTACATAAAGTTTTAATGTTTTTCAACCTATATATTTTTTTGTTTCTGGCAGTTCCAGTCAAGTCGTAGTTAACTTCTGAAGTGCAGAAAAAATAAAACGCGTTCTGAGGACAGCAGAGCCTAAATTATGAATAAAAACGTTGCACAGTTCAGTCCTCAAAGTGTCCGTTATGGATAACTCTCAGCACGTTGAGTGTATCAAATGTAAAATGCGTTAGTCATTTTTGTGTTTGCTATGGTCAGTTAGCCATGGCAGCCATCTTGAATCAGGTTGACTCATGTAAAGTTGCCCTGGGCTCATGCAGCCTCGTATTCACACACTCCCACCTCCGTGCTTCCCAGTTAAGTCAGTGTCTTATTAAACTTTAATTGTTGGGGAGTCACTGGAAGCAAAACAATTACAAAAAAACCCACAAATCTTTACCTGGAATCATGCTAGACACATTTGCACAAATTTGCAGCAAAATTTGGTGTTTGCAACAATTTTGCCAAATAAAACACATTTAGCGCTGTCAAATTATGGAAGTTAAAGTAAGATGGATTTGAGCCGTTTTTCAGACCCAAGACTAAATACTGACAGAAAATTGTTAACTGTTTACATTTCCTGTGATAAGAGCAAAACACGAGTAACCAGTTTTAGATAACCATTGTTGAGGTATAGCAAGCTTTTTTGCTTTTAGCTACCATCTTTCCGATTTTAACTACCGTATCCTTTTGCTACTTTTAGCTACCATCTTGCTACTTTTAACTTTTAGCTACAATTTCGCTAATTTTAACTATCCCTTTGCTACTTTTAAATTTTAGCTACCATCTTGCTAATTTTAACTATCCTTTTGCTACATTGAGCTTTTAGCTACAATCTCGCTAATTTTTGCTATCATTTTGCTACATTTAGCTTTTAGCTACCATTTCGCTAATTTTAACTATCATTTTTGCTACATTTAGCTTTTAGCTACCATTTTGCTAATTTTAAATATCATTTTGCTACTTTTAACTTTTAGCTACAATCTCGCAAATTTTAACTATCATTTTGCTACATTTAGCTTTTAGCTACCATCTTGCTAATTTTAACTATCCCTTTGCTACTTTTAGCTACCATTTCGCTAATTTTAAATATCATTTTGCTACGTTTAGCTACAATCTCACTAATTTTAAATATCCTTTGCTACTTTTAACTTTTAGCCAGTGCTTTGCTATTTCTAACTAGCATTTTGCTACTTTGAGCTTTTATAGCTACAAACGTTTTAGCTATCATTTTGCTACTTTGAGCTTTTAGCTACAAAAGTTTTAGCTATCATTTTGCTACATTTAGTTTTAAGTTAGTTTTTATGCTTTAAAATTTCAGCGAGTGCTTTGCTACTTTAATATAAAAATATTCTGTAGATAGAAGCATTCTGCTTCTTTTAGCGTTAGCTCGACTTTGTCGTCAGTAAATATCAGCAGTTATTCATAAACAGGATTTTTCACAGAAAATCCTGTTTCTCTGTTTTAAAATTGTGTTTCACTGGAGAAACAAACGGGCAGTGTCCTTTCAGTTTTTCCGTTTGGTTCTGTAAATAATTAAAATTGTGAACCTCAGAGTTCTGACAGAAGTGTGAAGGTGTAAAAGTTTGAAACGCGGTACAATTAAAGTTCTCAAAAACAGCTATTAAAACTTTAAAACTGGACAGGAAGCCAGTGCCGGGAGGCCAGAACAGGTGTGATGAGGCAGATGTGATTTTTACAACCTGCAGGCGCCGAAGTGACGACAGGCCGACACTCATAGACAATCATTTAAATGAGATGCAGCAAAGGCAAAAAAATTCTGTTTCACCGCTGGAAGGTACCGACTTCTCTCAGCTCATACAAAAAAACAACCCTTTACTTGTTAAACCCTACAGCAATTTGTAAAACTGTCAAAAAGAAAAACCTTTTTATTAACTTTCTGGATAAGAACTCCTTTTGTTGGTATTCTAAATGAGCTGCTTCTTTCCACACTTCTTTTCCGTTTTAAAGATGCCACCAAGTAATTCAAACTTTGTTGTTTTACCCACACAGAGTATCTAACAGCGTCTACAATTTATTAAAAAATTAGTTTTATCAGCCAACTGATAAGAACCACCCTCTTCCCTCAGAAAGAAAAACCCCATACGGTAAAGAAAAACCCAGTACGGTAAATAAAAACCCCATTCGGTAAAGAAAAACCCGGTACGGTAAATAAATACCTCATACGGTAAATAAAAACCTCATACGGTAAAGAAAAACCCGGTATGGTAAATTAAAACTTCATATTGTAAAGAAAAACCCGGTACGGTAAATAAAAACCTCATACAGTAAAGA